TAATTTCTTTTACTATATCATATATCATGTCCCATGTAACTTTTCCTTCGTGTCTATATATATACAAAGAGACGTTTTCATTTTGTTCAATTGAAGAAATCAGTGGTAGTTTCTTCATACTGGAAACTCTCGGCATACTTCTCGGCTCCGATCAAAGTGATCCACGCTAGTGACGACTTTGCGATCAGTCCAAGGATCATGTAGCCGTACTCGCCAATGATATAATCCTCAAAGATTCCAATCTTGAGCCACTGGAGAACAAAAAGAATGGGAAAGAGACTTTCCAAAACGAACACGGCAACAACTGTGGGAAGAACGAAAGATGGCGGATCCTCACCGGCAGCAATCGATTCTGAGTAGTAGGAAAAGATGACACCCCAGACAGCAATCCAAGGAATGCATCCGAAGACGAATGGCGACCAGTATTGGGCAAAACCGTCAGCTCGCGCCTTGGCATTGACCACCTCGTGAATGTATGCTGGGTACTGAATGGAAATGGATAAGACAAAGATCAAGATGACCATGTGGACGTCGGTGACACCGACAAGTTGAGAGATGTGCATGTTCATCAAGGAACACGACACAGAGTACTCCAACCAACGGTATGATGCCTTGCTGCGAGCCAAATCATGCTCATAGCGTGCACGACCGCCAGGAATAATGGCAAAGATATGGTCAATGGCACTCAGTCCGATGATTGCACCCGTGACCCACGGTACTGAGAAGCTGGTGAGGTACCTGCTGTCGGGTCGAGCAAAGTACACATTGTCAGTTCCTTCACCACCAATGGCAGAGGCCAAGGCGTTGTCGACGGCAACAGGATAGTTGGTGTAAAGGAGCCATTTGAGGTTCACATTGTTGGAGTACGCAAACAAGAAGATTGCCTCTGCAGTCTGAAGCAGAGCACCAACCAACTTTGATGTTTAGACAATTCGACGGAAATGGTTAGACGGAAATCGCGCTGCAATTTACGACAGACAAAGATTCCTTTGGGTGCTTACGTGAAAGACATTGAGAGCTTTAGGGATCTCGTTAAGTTGTCCTGGCTCGAGGTAGTGCACGGCGCTGTCGTTGGTATTGTTGGCAACCGGCTTCGAAATCGTCTTCATAGTACCAAGAGTATGTGCGTCAGTACCAATGGTACTATCGTCGTGGTGTTGGTTTCGGTCAGGCGAGATTTCTCTGACGTTAGAACTCATGTTGATGGGTAGAGAGAAGGAGTAAGGAGGATAGTAGAGTGTGTATGAAGCTTACTTGAAGTGACTGTTTCAAGAAAGCGATCCGTCGGGTTGTGAGTTTGTGATGTCTGCAAGAATATCCAACATCTGAGGACAGAAAGCAAAGAAGGTAACGTTCTTTGACATTACTGTTCGGATTTCCATATTCGTTAGCCTGTGTCGAAGCAAGGATGATCGAAGCTCTCCCGATATCGAATTAAATAAAAGAGATGACGCATTTTTTGTCGCTGATGGACCCTCCGTATCTGTCCTGTCGTCTTCCACATTGGACTTTTGAAATACCCCTGAGCTGGAAAGAACGACTCGTGCCGTAGAGCCACATTATTCTCTTCGATTGTTCCATGATTATTCGTGTTCCCCCTCCTATTGGTGATGCCATGCGAGGGACGGACGACATCTGTAGGGGGTTATGTGAGAGGTGATGACGCAATTCTTGTGGTGGATGTTCGCTTAACCAAGAGAGAAAGAGAAGCGCTAATTCTCAAATCTTCTGATATTCTCTACCATTTTCCATAAGTGACATCGATTCTGTGGAACACAACATGCCATGTCTGCCTCTACAAGATGAAGGCTTTAATCACAGAGTCAATAATCAAATTGCACTATGATACTTTAGGTAGATTATCTGTACATGCATTTACACGTATGCTGCTACGAATGGGCTTGTCCACATACTTTGATCAGTGTAGAGAGCTGCATGTTCTATATCCCATTTGATATTCTCTAGTCATTTCCTTTTTAGTGTCGTCGATTCTGCGGAACACGCATCTCACATTGAACGAATGGGAGCTATTTTTCAGATTCGAGACCCAAAAAGTCGAATCCCCGCCCCGAAATGGCGTTTGATTTGAGGTTTTGGATCAGGCGAACGAAGATACACTGCATGTACCGGTATATCATGCAATGGCCCAACCATAAATCAGACTTCATCTCAAACTACCGTAATGGTGTCCAAAAATAGATAAAAAGTCACTCTACACAATAGTACAGTAGTCGTCAGCTTAGAATGAGTGGGAAGATAATGGAGTATTATGGGCAACAACTACACACTACTTTCGACAAGACATAAAACCTCTTGCTTTTTCCGTTTCCCTCGTGCAACTTTTAACCTGCGGTAACGTAAGCATGGCAGGGGAATTCCATGGTGGCTTGGTTGGTAATGCGGATTGTAGTTCCATGCATAGGGGGGCATTCAAAGGTAACCAAAAGGGCGTTGAGGAGGCCATTGTTGGTGAATACTTCAAAGACTTGCTTGGGATTGTTGGGACCGGTAATAAGTTCGATTTGGGCATTCAATTGGCGACTGTCGGTGTTGAGCAAGACGGAAACAGCACCAATATCACCTGCAACAGGTACTTGCTTGACGGATCCTCCCTCGATATAAATACCTTGGGTAGACTTTGGGATCTCCGATCGCAAGTTGGCAATTGGGCCTTGTGCGTAAACAGCTTCCGCATCAAGAGCGAATTCATATTCAGCAATATTGCGGACTTCAATCTGTAATATTATGAAACCAATAACACAAGACAAGAAAGGCGACGAGAGGTTAGATTGCGATGGCCAACAATGCACTACCCAGACTCGTATCACAGTTCAAATCAGGTAGTGATAGGAAGGAAAGCTTGATCGTCCTGTGAATCATTAGCATATACATACCTGAGCGACCTTGCCTCTAGTTCCTAGAATGCATTGAATAGGACGTTTCTCACCATCTTCAGTATACGCCTTCATTGTATAGGGAGTCCAATCAGGCCCCACCCATAAATCAACAGAAGTCTTCACAGGACGTCCGGTGCTGGACGTTACAGCTAGCTGAACATCAGTTTGGGTAGTATCACGAAAGTCATACGTGTACCGAGATTGTCCTTCAACTCTTCTCTTTCCTTGTGGCGAAAAATTACGCCAGGCTTCGGCAGGGACCAACCGATCCGGTGCTCCAGGTGCTCGTTGAATTTCTCCAAACTGAGGTTGAGCGCCAGAAGGCTTGGAGTAAACACTGGCCCCTTGATCCCACCAAGCATCAGACATGTAAAGAGATGTATCTGAGCCTGCATTATCCGTTTTCTTAGGCTTCAAAGGCTGTGGCGCAAAGGCAGCAGTGGATGGTATGGTGACACACAGTGCAACGAGAAGATTTGAGATTAAGAATTTCATTTTGGTAGAATGTTTGGCGTGCTTTTGAAAGACAGAGCGATGCAGATTAAGGTCAAAAGATTTACAGTCGGACTGTTGTGTGCTCTGTGTCCGTTGTTGATGGGTTTGCAACGAATTGAGTGTCAACCACAAAAGATATATATCGTACAGAGAGCTTCTTGCAAGAATAATTTTAGGGTTCTGTTGCTTCTTTTTTTGATGGATGTCAGGCTTGCGTTTGCGTATCTTTTTGAGCTACTTATGGGACCACGTACTTGCGACTTTATATATGTGTACGTAATGAATACCTACATATGTGTCAATTTGAATAACGAGAAAACTCTTCTCCTCGCTTTCAAACCTTCTCTCAATCAAATAACCCACAAGATCCAGACATTCTGGCCCTGAGGCGTTGAGTGTTTTGGACGTTTACGGTAGAATATCTTTGGTATAAAATAGATGGATCTCTTAGCTTAACTTAGCGATTCATTCATTCTTGTGCTTTGAATCATTGGATGCTTGTGAATGATTTGCGAAGTAATTCATCGAAGTATTGCATGTGTCACGTGATCTTCCATGCCGAGATGTGGAAACTAGGCTACGTCCATTGTCCTGCCACCTGCTCTTTCAATAACGAAAATAAGACATCAACTCTCGATTTTTCAGAAGCTGGGACATCCCAAAAGTCGCTTCTGTCGTTATCTTCGTCGTCTTCGCAACGTTTGTTACAGTAGAATATTGATGCTGCTCTTGCTAGAATATGTGACCACAAATTGGCTGAGAGCGGCGTGATGGATTGTGCTTCCGAGACCCGTTGATAGCCACGATTCATGCTCAATGGAAAAACAGTTCGCTTGTAGAAGTCACTGGGATCACACAACTCATCATCGCACCAGTCGTCTTCAGGGGTCGGATGGAAGTCCATTTCACAATCAAGACATTCCAAGCTTTTGCTACGCCAAAGAGCATCAGCAGCTATATTTTCCCAGTCGTAGCCCTCGTTAATAAATGGACATCCTCGCATATTCACTTGTTTTAGGGTTTTCATTTGGGGTAACTTGCGAAAGAATACGATTGCATCATCTTCGGTGATCTTATGACAGTTTGCCAGCATAAGAGTTCGGAGGGTCGCGTCACCTCCAATGAGCAATGGATCTAAAGGGGACAAATCTGATATCTGACTGTTCCGTAGACTCAGAGTCTGAATTGATTTTTAAAGAGACTGATTGTTTCCATGAGTCTAGAACAGTCAAGTCGAGTTCTCTCAATACTATAACAAATCACCGTAGTATTCTTTAGTGCGCAAAGCTTGTCGGCAGGGATGCTGGAGTCAGATTTTCTTGAAGGCTCAATGCCAGAAAAACATAGGCTCTTGACACTACAATCCTCTCTGCAAAGACTATCAGTAATGATATCGAACTGAAGATTACTGCTTGAATCTACACCCATGTAGCATGGCCGCATCGCTACATTCTGAATACGATTGCATCATCTTCGGTGATCTTATGACAGTTTGCCAGCATAAGAGTTCGGAGGGTCGCGCCACCTCCAATGAGCAATGGATCTAAAGGGGACAAATCTGATATCTGAATGTTCCGTAGACTCAGAGTCTGAATTGATTTAAAGAGACTGATTGTTTCCATGAGTCTAGAACAGTCAAGTCGAGTGCTCTCAATACCTCTACACCCATGTAGCATGGCCGCATCGCTACATTCTGAATGTACCCATTCAAGGTAATTGCTTGGAATAGTTCCTGCAGTCCATACCCTGCAAGAATCCGTCGAAATTTAGATCCATTGTGTTTTGATTGCGTTGCAAAGCATCGATCAGGATCGAAGCCGTTTCTTCGTGCTCTGCTAAGGTCGTATTGGACAAGCTGAGTTTCTCGAGGGAGTTGGCTAGTCTGCTTAAGAGGCAGCGGAGAAGAGAAGAAATAGAAGCTCAGCTCTCACGGACCGTCATCATAGAGCAGAAAACATGTCATCAAACTAGCAAAAATAGTATCACCCCGCAATGAATTCAATTCCAAACACTTTGCTTTCTTGAAAGCCAATACGGAAATTCTCAAGAATAATGGAGACACCGCCCTACAGGATTGCATTCGACAGAGATGGTGTCAATCTTGTTTGGCCACTGCTCGAGCATCCGGTACAGTGCCCTGCCATCCATCGGATTGGCAGTGACAAACCGATAGTATAGTCCA